TGAGGGTGGTGAGGGACTGGAATGGGTTGCCCAAAGAAGTGGTGAATGCTTCATCCCTGGCAGTGTTCAAGGATAGGTTGCACAGAGCCTTGGGCGACATAAATCTAGTGTGAGGTGTTCTGGAACTAGATGATCTTAAGGTCGTTTCCAAACCTAACCTTTCTATGATTCTATGAAAATAGCACATTTGATACCATTTCATTCAGCAATAATGTTAAAATTAATCTGGCTTAATTTATTATGCCTCTGAATAAGAACTGGTCTTTCAAGAAGATAAAAGCTTTTGGCATTTTATATTTGAGTAATTTTTTTGATTGAAGATTAGAAACTTGCAAATAAGAATGACAATCTTGCAAGTACATCGCTATTTTCTGAAATAACATCTATATTAGCAAAATCAGTTCCTCTGATCATTTGAGAAGATTTAATATGAACATTTCTCATAGTATTGAGCAGCATTGAGTTAATTTTTATAGAACTTGCAGTTCTTTTATAGAACTTGCAGTTCACTTCTTATTTGTTTCTTGGTGTCTAATAAATCCTCTGAGTGGCATATAAAAGCAAGAATATAGCTGTGTTATCTAAATTGCGACAATCATGAATTGTTTTGCAGTGTAATTCCTTCCTGGTTTTCTTGTTTTAAAATAAATCTGTTTTTCTTGTTTTAAAGTTTAAATGATTATGTTTAGGTGGTAGTCTTGATAAGAACCGCTGTTGATGGCTGTCATTTCCACACCTTTATTGTCTTTGTTGAGGAATGGCTTGCTGTGCACAAATCAATCTCAAATTCAGCTCCCTGGGTATCTTAGAATTGTGGAACTATTATAGCCACTTGCTATTTTTTTAGTCAAACTGATGCTGGCTTTTCAAAGCATTATGAACGTAATTTTAAAAAACGGTACTGGACTTCCCAGAAACTGTTGTTTTCAAAAGAGCTTAGAAAGTAATCCTTGCTGTGCTTGGGAAAAAATCACTAGCTTTCTACTGCTGTTCTATCAGATTCTCCTAAATGGAGCTTGCTAAAAAAATCTTAAATCCATTTGGGACTTTGTTAGAAAGTTTTCTGAAGCTACTTTGAAACTTTTTCTATGCATGTTCAGATGATATTTTCTTGAGAAATAATCTATTTCCAGATACACAAATTTCTGGTTTCACTTGCTTTGCAGGTTTGCTAAGATTCACATGAGAACCTGCTGGGTAGTTTTCATGTTTGGATGGTGTATCCTTCCGAGTCAGAGGATTACATACAACACATTCAAAATTGCTGCAGTAGCCAACTGTAAATACATTCCCTTTGAAACTTAAAGGATAGGAAGGTTGCATAATATTGCATAATATTTTTTAGCTAAATACAGACTAATCAATTATTCTTGCTTGTAGCAGTCTGAAATTGAAAGATGCCTCTGAAGTTACAAGTGCAAACCCAGAGAAGCTTCACTGATTGCTAAGGGGCTATGCTGCTTATGTATTGAATGATTAGATTTTAAGTTTTAGGCACTGGCAAGCTAAAGAAAGTTACTTAAATTTTTACCAGCTGCTGTAAACTGGTTGTTTAAATCCCATTTTTAAAGGTCTTGCAAATACCAAGTTACATGTGTACTTTTATCATGTTACATAAGTATTTGCTACTCCAAGGAATGAGTGGTGACTCTGCTAGCCTTTCAGCTTAATTCCTCTTTTGATTCTGCCTTGTGTTAATTCTGGAGTTATAAGGGGAGTAACTACCAAGACTGTAATCAAGATCCTACAAGTGACCAAGGAGTTTGAATTTATATTACTACTGTCGTGTCATTGGTGAAGAAATACTGCTTGTCAGGTAAGCTAGCTTGAGTTAAATAAATCTGAAAAGGGCTATCTTGTGTGAACATGATTCAGGGTGCTGGTAAAAACTAGCAAAGATGAACTTCGCAGGTTGGGTGAGTAATATGTATTTCTAAATTATGAAACTTTCTGCAGGCTTGCAAAAGCTCCCCAACTTTCAGGCAAACTGGGCTCTTTTTTGCAAAAAGTATACTGAGACAGATCAAAGCTTCACTGCAAAGTGCCTGAGTTATAAACTGCTTGGAGCATGTAAATATGCCTCATACTGGGAAGGTGCTAACTGATACCAATAAGCACAGAAGCCGAATACAATTAACCATCTTAAGTGAAATCTCTTAATTACACTTTCACAAACCCTGGACCAAAGACTGTGTCTACTTGAAGTCTTCAGCTAGAACTTGGGAACATTCTCATTGTTTGTAAGACCACTCTCTAAAACTTGAAATGATATTTCTGGAAATCTAGTGTGGCAACAAAATCAACTTCTAAGACATGAGTATATCCATTTATAGTGTCCTGGGTTCAGCAGTAGCAGTCATTTTTCTCCTTCGTAGCTGGTGCAGTGCTGTGGTTTTGACTTTTGGCCTGGGAACAGCGCTGATAACACTGGTGTTTTTAGTTGCTAAATCATGTTTACTCTGACCAAGGAGTTTGTGAGTCTCATGCTCTAACAGGGAGGAGGGGAAGCCAGGACGAAGCAGAGACAGGACACCTGACCCAAACTTACCAAAGAGGTATTCCATACCACAGCATGTCATGCCCAGGATGCAGAGCTGGGGGCAGTTACCTGGAAGGGCTGGATCACTGCTCGGTCAGGTGGGGTATCAGTCGGTGGGTGATGAGTGGTTATATTCTCTTCCCTTGTTATTTCCCTATGATTATTAGCATTGGTGATAGCAGTAGTGGTTTGTGTTATACCTTAGTTACTGGACTGTTCTTATCGCAACCCGTGGGAGTTACGTTCTTTTGATTCCCCTCCCCATCCCTGGGGGGGGGGGGGGGGCGGGAAGGGAAGGAAAGGAGTGAGACAGAGACTTCGTGGTTCTGATTTATGGCTGGGCTTAAACCATGACATATACTTACTATAGTAATCTGAATTCAGTATCTGCTATCTGTACAACTGCACATACTTATTTTTCACAGCTCCTTTGTTTTGTGGTTTCTGTGCTCTAGGTCTAGGCCTGACTCTTAGCAAATTTCATGTGGTGCTAATTTAGAAAAAAACATGCTGACAGAAGTTCCCCAGCCTTAGGATACACATCTTACAGATGGTGATTGCTGTCCTGGATGATACAACTGAGCAATTAATAAGGTACAGTTAGATTTAATTGGGGAAGATTTTTGTACTACTCATGCATTATGCGTATGCCATGGACAAGCAGAATTCAGAGAATCTCCCAAATCATCTTATTTTATGTTGGTTACTATGTCCATCTTTTTGCATCATGCTGTTAGCTGCAAGGGCATATCTACACAAAGAAATGAGAAAGGTAGGTTAAGTAAGCCACAATGTATTTACATCTGCTGTCCCTGTAAGTGTGCCACAGTGCAACATATACAGGCAGAGTACGATCAAGTTTTCTTAATTTATGGTGTTCCTTTTGCTTATTTCAGTATCTTTTTGTACCTACTTACAGCTAAGCAAGTCTAATTCAGTGCAAGGTCTGCATGATTTGTATAAGGGGTATTGAGATCAATATTATATAGGTCAGGGTGGGATACAAAAAAGAAATCCTGTTTAGCATCTGTCTAAAAATAAAAATGTAGAGAATGGCAACGGCAGTGAAGCATCCATGACATGAGTGATACTCAACACGCTCAGTGCACCTAAAAGGAAAAACAGAACCATAAGAGGGTAGGTTAACAAGCAGTTAACACTTTATCATAAAGAAGTAGCTAAATTTAGTATTTGGGAAAGGACAGTCCCAAATAGATACTACAAAATTGTTTGGAGATGTACTGCACTAAAAGCCAAGTTAAAAAATAAAAGCCTTTGCTTATTAACCATGGATATTTATTTTTTTACAAAGCACATAGTGTCTATTCTGCAGGTGAAATCAGTTGCTTACAATAAAAGCAGAGAAACGACCAACAAGCTGCAAGATATACTTAAAGACATAGCACTGTAAAAATCTTGGTTTAAAAATTCTGGTAGCACCTTCCTACAATTGGAAATACTCTGTAGTTATTACCTGGGGTTCCATGGTGCCTATACAGTCTTGTTTTCTCTGCTGCAGTTACAAGTTGCTTACAGAGTTTCTAAATTCTTCTAGAATGAGCCTTAGATGTGCAAAATTTTCTCTGCAAAGTGGACACATCACTGCAAAGTCATTCTCCAGTTAATCTTGGTGGTGAGCCCAAGTTTTCATACATGTTATGTGCACATTGTTGCCACAGCTGTAGCTGCAGGAAATTAGTACCAATTTATATAATTTCTCCAGAAGCGTATAAGAAGAAACAGCAAAAAAAAAAAAAAAAAATCACAAAGAGGTCTAGTGATGCCTGTTCAAAAGAAACCCCAAACCAACCCAAACTAAAAGTGCTTTTTCAACAGCCAAAGAATTAAGCCTTCCACCGTCTTTTGAAAAGTGAAATAATAAAATTATTTCCTTAGTAGAATTCATGATGCTTGTAAATTAAATGTATTTTGCTTCTCATTCACAGTTCAGGAGGCTAATCTCATCAGCAAATGCTGTCACTTCAGTAAAGCACTGAAGGGTGTTCCTTGAGGTTTCCTTATCTTCACAAGGAGAAAATGATACAAGGTAGAAAATTCCTCTGCTAACAGCCAGCTTTGGCAAATTAATCTGTTCTCTGAAACTCAGCTTGGGTACAGTTCTGATACCATGCCAGAATATTCCATAGCCAGAAACTAGTTATGAGTTAAGATGATGGTTTCTACTGAAGTTATTTTGCCTATACAAAATTTTGGAAAGTAAAAAGTTCCAAAATCTAGTTAAGATAGAAAAATACAAGGTAGGTTTTGACAATGTACAGGACGTTTGGGTTTGTTCTGCCAAAAAAACAACCTAGCCTAGCAAAATTAGTAATTTTCTGTTAATTTGATGGGGTTTGATTCAGCCTATGGCATCTCAAGAGAAGTAATACAAGCACTGTAACAGTGATGTGAGAATGGGATAGCATAGACTTCTGCATGAGACTTCATGTTATGTCCGGAACAGCAGTTTGTGACTTCTTTTGCAGTGCATCAGGCATTTGTGGAAGCTGCAGAGGTTTGTTTTGGAGTCTGAAATGGATCTTATGTGACTGTTGTTGACAAGATGTTTATCTTTGCTCCGATATAAACACACCTGCTCTAATACATAAATAAATTTGCTTCCACCCGGCTACTACACCCAGCCAACAGCTCCAGTACGTTATGGAGAAGAAACTGGTGTAAGTATATGTTGCCCAGCCTTCGGCCTCGATTTTCGTTTACAGAAATCATGGCTGCGCCTCACACTAAAGCAGGACCGTGCAGTTATGGAAGAACTGCCACCCACAGAGGTGCCGAGGTGCCCGTAGGCACGCCTGCCACCGAAACCGCGAAGCGGCACCGCTATGCTGTGTAAGAGCGGCCTGGCCTCGCCAGCTCCGCCAGCTGAGGAAAGGTCCTGCTGGCCAAGCTGCCCCGCAGCGTCGTCCCGCACCGTCAGCGATGGCCCGCCCCTGCTCGCCTCCAGCCACAAGATGGTATCCAGCTCCGGCAGGACGCTGCTCATTGCCTGGTCCTGCCGCCGCAGCCTCAGCTCGGCGCTCTCACCCTCCGGTCGCTGCCCACCGGGCGCAGGGAGGAACAAGCAGGTCGTGTTGCTGGTGTCCCAGACTGCGGACCAATATGGTTGCTTCCAGAAAGAGAGCTTGTAGTCAGGTGACTACAGCAACTCAGACAGAGACCCCGTCCCAAACCGTGGCTGTTCAGGTCTCTGGGTGCAGGAGTGCCAGAGCCTGCTGCTGCCGGGGGAGGGAGGACAGCATTCCACCTGCGTGAGGTGTGAGCAGGTAGAAGATCTGCTTAGCCTGGTGGCAAGACTTAAGGAGGAGGTTGAGACACTGAGGACCATCAGGGAGTGTGAAAGGGAGATCAACTGGTGGAGTAACACCCTGGCGTGCCAGTTGGAACGGTTCCAGGGAGATACCCCCCAAAAGGGGAAGGACCCCCTGCCTGCTCACACAGAGGAGGATGGCCCGAGACAGCCCCTGCCCTGTAGCTGTTGCGCAGAGGTAGGGGACCAAAAAGAAGACGAGGGTTGGAAGCGAGTTCCAGTTCGACGTCATGGGAAACCCTCCCCCCTTCCTGCCCTGCTTCCCCAGGTGTCCCTCCATAATAGGTTCGAGGCCCTGGATCTTGAAGGAGAGGTAGGTGAGAATGTGGGGCAAGGCCAGCCCACAAGGCCACATAGGAAAAGGCGGTCGACTTTGCACCTCAAGACTGCCTCTGTTAAGAAAGAAAGAAGGGTCATTGTAGTAGGGGATTCCCTTCTGAGAGGAACAGAGGGCCCGATATGCAGAGTTGACCCTCATCATAGGGAAGTGTGTAGTCTGCCTGGAGCCTGGATCAGGGATATCACTAGGGCGCTCCCCAACCTGGTGCACCCGACAGACTACTACCCGCTGCTGGTCTTCCAGACAGGTGGGGAGGAAGCTGCTTCCCGCAGTCTGAGGGGGATGAAGAAAGACTACAGGGCCTTGGGGTGGATGGTGAAAGAGTCTGGGGCTCAGGTGATCTTCTCCTCACTCCTTCCATCTTCCACTGATGATGTGGGAAGGAATGGGAAGATTCAGTTCATAAACAATTGGCTTCGAGACTGGTGCTACAGGCAGGGCTTTGGATTCTTTGATAACAGCTGGTTTTATAGGGCACCAGTCTGGACAATGACAAGTGAGAAAGGTTTGTCTCACAGAGGCAAAAGGATGCTGGGGCACGAATTAGCAGGGCTCATTTGGAGAGCTTTAAACTAGATTCGAAGGGGGATGGGGTTGTAGCTGGGCTTGCCCCAGTGGGGCAGTGCTGCAGAATTGATGAAGACTGGGAGGCCTCCTATAATCCTAGGGTGAATTCGGTGTGCTCAGCTCGCTCCCTGAAATGTCTGTACACCAATGCGCGCAGCATGGGAAATAAGCAGGAGGAGTTGGAAACCTGCGTAAAGTCAGGAGACTATGATCTGGTGGCAATTACAGAGACAGCTCACATGACTGGAATATAGTCATGGAGGGCTATGTCCTTTTCAGGAAAGACAGGCCAGCCAGGAGGGGTGGTGGGGTTGCTCTTTATGTGCGGGAGGAACTACAATGCACTGAGTTCTGTCCAGGGACAGATGACAAGCAAGTTGAGAGTCTGTGGGTGAGAATTAAGGGGCAGGCTGGCAGGGGGGATACTGTTGTAGGTGTCTGTTACAGACCACCAGATCAGGGTGAGGAAGTTGACGAGGCCTTCTACAGGCAGCTGAGAGCGGCCTCACAGTCACAGGCTGTGGTCGTCGTGGGGGATTTTAGCTTCCCTGATGTTTGCTGGAAGGACCACTCGGCAACCCAGCCGCAGTCCAGGAGGTTCCTCCAGTGTATGGATGATAACTTCCTCCTGCAAATGGTGGATGAGCCGACCAGGAGAGGAGCGATGCTGGATCTCATCCTCACTAACAAGGAGGATCTGGTTGAAGCAGTAAGGGTTGAGGGCTGCCTTGGTTGCAGCGACCACGAGATGGTGGAGTTCAGGATCTTGTGTGGTAGGACTAGTAGAACACCAAGTAGAATTGCAACCCTGGACTTTAGCAGGGCAAACTTTGGCCTTTTCAAGCAATTGCTAGGGGAAATCCCATGGGCAAGGCTGCTTGAAGGTAAAGGGGCCCAAGATAGTTGGTTGACATTCAAGGACTGCTTTTTCCGTGCTCAAGATCGGAGCATCCCAACACGTAGGAAGTCAAGGAAGAGGGCCAAGAGACCTGCGTGGCTAAATAGGGAATTGCTGGGTATGCTCAAGTGGAAGAGGAGAGTTTACAGGTCATGGAAGGAGGGGCTGGCCACTTGGGAGGAATATAAGGCTGCTGCTAGAGGATGTAGGAAGACAGTTAGGAGGACTAAGGCATCCTTAGAATTAAACCTGGCGAGAAGGGTCAAGGACAGCAAAAAGAGCTTTTTCAAATACATGGCAGACAAAACTAACACCAGAGGCAATGTAGGCCCACTGATGAACGGGATGGGTGCCCTGGTGACAGAAGATACAGAGATGGCAGAGTTACTGAATGCCTTCTTTGTCTCTGTCTACTCTGCTGCAGGCAGTCCTGAAGAGCCCTGTACCCCTGAGACCTTAGATGAAGTCAGGTCGACGGAGCGGTTTGCCTTAGTCGATGAGGAACGGGTTAGAGACCAGTTGAGCAATCTGGACATCCATAAATCCATAGGTCCAGATGGGATGCACCCACGGGTGCTGAGGGAACTGGCGGAAGTCATTGCTAGACCGCTCTCCATCATCTTTACCAAGTCTTGGGAAACGGGAGAGGTGCCTGAGGACTGGAGGAAAGCAAATGTCACTCCAGTCTTCAAAAAGGGCAAGAAGGAGGACCCGGGTAACTACAGACCGGTCAGCCTCACCTCCATCCCTGGGAAAGTGATGGAACACCTTATCCTTGGTGCCATCTTAAGGCATATCAAGGATAAGAGGGTTATGAGGGGCAGTCAACGTGGCTTCACCAGGGGGAAATCATGTTTGACCAATCTCTTAGCCTTTTATGAGGAAATAACACGGTGGATGGATGATGGCAGAGCGGTGGATGTGGTCTACCTTGACTTCAGCAAAGCATTTGACACAGTCTCCCACAGCATCCTCACAGCTAAATTGAGGAAGTGTGGACTGGATGATCAGGTAGTGAGGTGGACTGCGAACTGGCTGAAGGAGAGAAGCCAGAGAGTTGTAGTCTATGGGGCTGAGTCTAGTTGGAGGCCTGTAACTAGTGGAGTGCCTCAAGGGTCAGTACTGGGACCGGTATTATTTAATCTATTCATCAACGATTTAGATGAGGGAATTGAGTGTACTATCAGCAAGTTTGCTGATGACACTAAGCTGGGAGGAGTGGCTGACATGCCAGAAGGCTGTGCTGCCATCCAGTGAGACCTGGACAGGCTGGAGAGTTGGGCAGGGAATAACTTGATGAAATATAACAAGGGAAAGTGTAGAGTCCTGCATCTGGGCAGGAACAACCCCAGGTTCCAGTATAGGTTGGGAAACGACCTGTTAGAGAGCAGTGTAGGGGAGAGGGACCTGGGGGTCCTAGTGGACGACAGGATGACCATGAGCCAACACTGTGCCCTTGTGGCTAAGAAGGCCAATGGCATCCTGGGGTGTATTAGAAGGGGGGTGGTTAGTAGGTCGAGAGAGGTCCTCCTTCCCCTCTACTCTGCCCTGGTGAGACTGCATCTGGAGTATTGTGTCCAGTTCTGGGCCCCTCAGTTCAAGAAGGACAGGGAGCTGCTGGAGAGAGTCCAGCGCAGGGCAACGAAGATGATTAAGGGAGTGGAGCATCTCCGTTATGAGGAAAGACTGAGGGAGCTGGGTCTCTATAGTTTGGAGGTAACTGAGGGGTGACCTTATAAGTGTTTATAAATATATAAAGGGGGAGTGTCACGAGGATGGAGCCAGGCTCTACTCAGTGGCAAACAATGATAGGTCCAGGGGTAATGGGTACAAACTGGAACACAAGAGGTTCCACTTAAACTTGAGAAGAAACTTCTTCTCAGTGAGGGTGACGGAACCCTGGAACAGGCTGCCCAGGGAGGTTGTGGAGTCTCCTTCCCTGGAGACATTCAAAACCCGCCTGGACACATTCCTGTGTAACATTATCTAGGTGTTCCTGCTCCGGCAGGGGGATTGGACTAGATGATCTTTCGAGGTCCCTTCCAATCTCCAGCGTACTGTGATACTGTGTGATACTGTGGCTGCGGGCAGCGCGCGAGTGGCCGGTCCCTATGGCAACGGCGCGGCCGCCATTATCAGAGCGCCTGCCGACCCGCAGGCCGGGCTCGCCGTGCCCCCGCTCCCTCAGGTAGACTCTGCCGCGGTCGCCGGGCCCAGCGTGGGTTCCTGAGGGCTGCCCGCAGTCTGTCCCAGCGTTGGCCTCGTAACGCCACGTGTTTTATTACCTGCTTTTTGTAAAGCAAAGCCGTTGTGAAGACATTTACCAGAGGCGGGTTTCTGTGCTGTGTCGCAGGCGCTAGGGGGAACTGTTGCACTCTCCATAGTCTTGCGCGAGTGAGATCATCTTCATTTCATGCTAAATATTTCTATGAGTTTTCCAAAGAATTGAGTTACGAATCTTTTCAGAACATAAAAGTCATTTGTGTAGTTTTTTACTGGAGCGTAAACAGATATAATATGGTAGTGGAGGTCTAACTCCAATTTATGTTTTTTAAGGACATAAGGAAGTCTTTCTAGCTTGTGCTGGGTTTCTCTGAAGTGGCATTTTATTTCAGAGGTCGCTAAGCCGTGCTAGGGAGCGGCAGAAATGGGGCAGAGCTCCCGGAAAGCCGGGAAGAGTCAGAAGAGGAGCCCTCGGCGGTGCCGGGGAGCTGAGGTGAGGTTATGTGGGGGAAGGCAGTGGGAATCAGAGGCCTGGCACCGTGCCTGGTTAAAATGATTGCCTGCCATGCCACATGGTGAAGGCAAAGTGTTGGTGAAGAAGCTCATCTAGCCGCAGGACCCTGATCCAGATCAGTCCAGAGGTGAGAACAGATAGATAGAATAGATAGTCCAGGGTTAGAAAGGTTATTTCGAATGGTAGGAATGTTTCCTTGTTTTCCATGCCTTGTCTGTTTAGACAGAGGGAGAGTTCAGGGCTCAGTATATATTGATAGTGACACAGTGGAGTCCTGATCTGTCTGCTTTCTGCTTTACTAATAATTATTAAGCAATGCTCATAAGTTTGGGGTTTGAATTTGTTCAACAGAACAAAACTTGAATGAGATGATCCTTGAAGTCCTTTCCAACCTGGTATTCTGTAACACTGACTTCTGTGAGCTTCCAGAATTGAATAGTTCTTTATGAGTAAAGCTACACTCGTGCCAATTTCTGGCAAACATCTGCTAGCTGTGATTTCAGAAGCTATAAATATAAGAAAAAATATCAAAGACCCCAAATCAGAAAGTCCTGCTACCACAGGTATGAAGCTTACGTTCTGACAGATACCTGGAATGGAGCGCAGCAGTGATAAACTGGGGCAGATCTACAGTGGAACACTGCATGTTCAGTCTTGTCAATAATCTTGTCTGGATGTTACTTGAAAATAAGATATTTTTAAATAATATGGGGATAATATTTACTCTTGCTAACATTCTTGTATTGACACAATCAACATGATCTTCAGCATGATTTTTCTGACTTATGAATTATTTAAACATTGTTCGTATACTGTCATTTAAGAGGACTAAGGCTCCGAATATGAGACACAAAACTGTATTATCTATTAGCACATATTAATGCTGGTATAGGGGTAACAAAACCCCCAGCAGATTAAAATTGTTTCAATCAAAAGATTTTGAAGCACTGCAGTTGATGATGCCTCACCCAACAATTGCAGATATGGGTTTTTTTCTTTCAGCTACCTAATGTGAGTATGATAGATTTTTTTTTTTTTTTTTTCCCCTTGGATCCGTCTCCAGTTGAAATGACTGGAAATGTTCCCTGTTATGTCAGTGGAGATACTGAAAAATAACCTTTTGAACTGGTGTTGTCATATCCACAAAGAGCCCATCAGAAAGAAGAATTTGGCTTCCTGAATCTCTGCTCATAGTCTTTTCAACTGTGTTTGTTGTCATTGTTTTGTTTTATTTTTCTATCAATCATATGAAAAAGTCAGTGCCTTTTTTAAAAATATATGCATATTTATTTAATTGTATTGGTGCTGTTTAACTGATTCTGTAACTACTAGTAACTAGTGCAAGGTAAATTTAAATTTTACCAATCTAAACCAGCATGACTCTTCTTAGAAGCGTAATACACTAATGCTGTCTACAATATCTGGGAGGGCAGTAAGGATATTATCCTAACATAACCTGCAAATATGTTTTTCATGAGGTATGGTGTTTTTGTGGGTCGTCAGTCCATGGTCTTCCTTTACCACTGTTTGTCTAGACAGCCTTGCAGGTAAACAAAACCCCCAAATGAACTGTTTAGTGGGAAAAGTTTTATATAATGTTTTATACAATACATGGCCTTTAAATGTCTATTTCAGAAGTGGAACAGAGAAATTATCACTAAGAAAAATTTATTTTGGCACCAGAAAGTGAAGTAATCTTGGTACCTACTGAGTCACTTCAAGTGATATGAACCTAAGTTTACTGTGTGGTATATAATTCTTCCTCTCTACTTACTGCAGTTCAGTATGTACAAATGACATTGTCTAGCAGGGACTCTGATTTGCAAAAGTATGTTTTTAATGACATTACGAAAAGATTAGTACTGACAGGTTTTTATATATATTTCCTATGTGGAGCCAGCTCTTCCAGCCCATTTCCTTCAGTGATATCTGGAGAGGATCTGATAAGCTTTACACTGCGTTTCACAGGTCAGAGGGCATTGTCTTCCCCTTCATTCCAACTGCCAACAACAAAGTCAGACATATGTTATCACCATCACACAGGAAGCTGTGAGCTTGCTCATGGTCAACAAAGTACAAATACAGGAAGAGTGTCTGGTTAGTTAAAAGCTGATGATGCTCTGCTAAGGTAGAATATAGTACTATAACCCAACAATGCTATTCTATATGCTATGTATGTTTCAGTATCAGGGAAGGCTGGTTGTCTATGGTTGATTGGTTTAATTCTACTACAGCATATATACAGGTATCCATTTAAAATATATTACAGGTGGTATTGTATCCTGAGGTGGGGATGCATAATGTTGAAAGAATAATTACTTACGCAGCAAAGAGCGAAGCTGCAGTGGAATTATGTGATAATGAATTGAACACAATATGTACCTGAACAGATACAGTTTCACACTGCCAATGAACAAACACGATATGAGTTGCCTTAAATTTTCTCTAGATTCCCTCATCTCAACATATAGTATGTTGTATATCAAATTATAATGATGTACAATATATTAGCAAGCTCATAAAATGCTGTGAGGCATGACATCTCAGAGTTGGTAAATGTGGGTTTCGCAGTTCTCTGTAGTTTTGGAATGTGAAAACAGCTTAATGTGAGCTTTGTGTTTTCAGCACTGATAGCTAGTAATTCTGGAACCAAGGTCATTAGTGCTAAATTTGGATCTATTAGCAGCTTGTCTTCTGCTTCCGGTACATTGTTTACTGCTTCAGGAAAGTCTTCCCGATACCTCATACTAGTTCCCATCCTCTGGCTTTTGCTCAACACAGAACAAATCAGGTCAGGCACACTGAGTTCCAGCTCCTTTCTCTAAGGGCCAGTTGAAGCTCTGCTACTATGTACTGTTACCACCTGGAAGTGCTAGGCCACACCATTAATAACACGTACAGATATCTGTAGGAGTAGAGCACTGTAGTAATAGACTTGAGCTCACTACTTGTTCATGACTTCAGGAAAGGGAGAAGTGGGGGTCTTTTTTCTAGTGACAGAGCCAGTGAATGCAGCAGTGAATCAGTGAACTTACTGCAATTTGTCCCATCTCTATTCATTATATCTTTGTTTTCACACTTTCAGTGGCGATGCTGAGTTAGTATGCTTCCAGAAAGGCCCTTAAATGGTTTACTTCCTCTGTTGAGACCACTAGATTACTTTAAATGTGAAACTAGAACTTGAGTTTTAGCCATCCAGAAGTATAGCTCCAGCATCCAGTGCCAAGTGTCCACACTGGAGTGCTGTGCGGATGGAAATAGTAAGCAGATATGAAAGTCTTCTGAAGACTTGTGACAGTGTGACAAATTGAGGACATAGGAGTGTGTCATAACTCAGACCCACTGAGTTCCTAGTTTGCCTGTATGTCTAGCAGGGGACACCAAGAGCAAGAAATGATGTATTCACAGCAACTGAAGCTCAGAGACCACAGTAAAGCTTTCCATCTGATCCAAGGGTTCACTGTTGAAATGTAATTCCTGAGATACAAAGTCTGTGAGTAGTTTCACATATGTATCTAGATAGATGCAGATACAGGGATATATCAGGCCAGGTCAAATTTTAATAGGCATTTTGCCACATATGTTCTTCCATTTTTAGTCTCTTCTGCAAATCATGTTTAGGAAGTTTATGCTAGAAGTGCTCTGATTAAAGAGAAATTGCTAATATTATGGTGGTCATGAAAGCTATATTTATTATGTGCCACCAGAACAAGAAGTTATACCAAAACTGCTTTTTATATCCATGAGTGATTTTGATTATACCTGAGTATTTGCATGGCATGGAAGAATTCCTCTATGTCATAAAGCAGGTGGAACTGCTTTTCGTATCCTCTGCTTGAGGTGTACAGTAAGGCATACCAACAGTCTTTAAGTGACCAAGGCTGAAGGAATTCATACCAACTCTTGTTCTTATCTTGTGCAATTTTATCTGACAGCTGCCTTTTTAAGTTAAGACAATCGTGACTAAAAGAAGTCATGATAACTGTTACCCAAAGTGCAAGCCAAAGCAGAATAGTGTCACTGTACTGTGTTGCTTTTCTTCATGTGACATCTGTTACAAAGTTGGGAAAAAATTAGCCAAAAATAATTCAAAATAAGTTACTTCGTTTCAGTCTCCTGATCTTTGTAAAGGTATTTTATTTGAATAGAAGCTGCTCCAAACTGCATCTATCACATTGTGAAACTGTACTTGTTTTCTGATAGTTTGTCACAAGAGGGGGTTGGAGTTCTTTTTAGTTCCTAAGAGCTGATGTTCGGCTTTCACTAGGAGATGGTGTTTTGGTTGGGTTTTTTCTTTTTTTTTCGAGGATAAAAGAAGTCCTCATCCTGGACTTCTTGTTGGATTGTACTGTTTTTAAATAATAGACTGTAAAATTACTGAAAAGCCTAGGTCAAAACAATGGGCAGTAAGTAAGAAGTTGTTCCATACTGGTTTTTATTTCTTATTTCGATGGCAAATGTAGTAAAAATTACCATGTAAAAAGCATTCTTGGGCATGGTCATACTGTTAAGCAGTGACATTCATATAATGGGAGTTGGGAGGAAATCTCTGTGAGAAACTTCCTATCTTTAGGGAGCCATCACAAGGTGAATCAAAGTTACCAGTTAACCGAGCTGAAGTAAATGAAATGATGACGCTTTGTCTGCCTGTGACACTACCCCTGTTTATGCTGGTATCTGTATAAAGTCCCTCTTCTTGTTTTGTGGTAAAGCGGCAAATATTATTGCCCCTATTTCAGAATCCTCACCTTGAACAGGTTTTGGAAAAAGTAATGATAGACTTCTAGGTCCATTTTATTTCTTAGGTAATGTCTTAAGAATCTGATAGGTTAGGGGATTCAGTACATCCTTGTCTCATTCATTCTCTTCTAAGCATGCAGAATCCAGAAGAAGGAGTGCATTCTTGGAAATGCTTGGGACAAAGCATAGGCAGTGTTATGAAAATGGCTTAACATCTACTTTTCACAATGGAATAAGATGATGTGACTGAGGAGATGGTGTCTTTCATGTTTGGTGAAGAAAAGATTCGGAAAAGTTTATTCTCCAGGTTTAGAGAAGAGCTGTCTCAAATGATAAATGATTGCAAAGGTTTTATTTCGATGAGTAGTGAATTATTATGCAAGAAAGATAATGCAGAAATCCTGTATCTGCAGGGAAGTCTAAACCTCCTTGTTCTTTCTAATTCTGGGAAAAACTTAGTCATTTCTCTTTGAAGTATTTGTTTATGTGCCCTTAATTCTTAGAAAAACTTTTTCACTCATATCTACATCAGCCACGTTCTGTGTTTCTGTTGTGTTGTATTATCTATATTAACTGCCTGTGAGCTTCATGAGGGTTGAACCTTTCTAGAAAATCTCACCATTTAGGAATAAACTGATTTCATATCTTGCATTTCTGGCAGCAGTTCAAGTATTTTCAGCAATGCTCCTGGAAGATCTTTGTCACAGCTGAGTGTCTTTGCAGGGCTGTGGCAGTGGCTTTTTCATTTTATGCCTTTATGTTTCCAGTGTCTGAGAATATTTATTACATGAGTTTTTTTAAAGTAGTAGAATACAAAAATTGCAGTATTTTTAAGAAATAAATGGTTTTCAAGGTAACGGCATGTATACTTTGAGAAACACTACTTTAATGAATGTGAAGTCAGGAAAAATAATTTTTAAACATTGTTAACATATATAAAAGCATATAGTCCTAAGACTGTATGTATCCCCTGGTGAGGAACAGCATTTTGGAGACCTATTTTTTGTTCCTGAAAAAGATCACAGCTTTTTTCCTTTCAGCTTTGTTTAGTTTAGTTTGATGTTCTGTTGAAAATCCCAACCATAAAAGGGAAAAAGAGGAGGAAAAGAAAAAAACGTCTTGGGCATTGCACTGGTGAAAAAAATAGCTTACACTTAAGTGGGTTTTGTCTTAGAATTACTGAGCAATTAAAGGGGGGTTATATCCTCACTCATTTCTGTGGTTGTTATTGAGTACAGCCTAGTTAACACATCAAATGTAGGGCATCATAAAACTTGCCGCAATGTGAGCTACGGTTTGCTTCGTATTTATTCTTGGGAACTTGGAACAAAGGTCAGCACAAGTTTCATTACTCCTCCCATTTGTATTTTCCCATGCTTTTTCCCACACTTGAATGAATCTATATAGAGCTTGCTTATGACCATCATGGTGGTCTGTATTTAAAATCTGACAAATGTTTTTGAACCGAAATGTGGTGTGAAGTCATATCTGAAGTTCTATGATACTGTTTTCATCAGTAAATTAAGGACTCATCTTTCCTCCGCTTGTTTTCAAGTCAGAAATGCTTTTTCTTACATTTGCAATTGATTCTCCACTGAAGAATTTTTCAAATTATTTTTTTTTTTTAAATTTCTATACCTAGTGGTGTTTTTTCTTTCAAATGCAGGCTGAACATGCACGTTTTCTTCGGCACTACTTCCTTGTGACCAAGAATTCAAAATGTGATGTTAGGCACTGCCTGTCCACCATGAATTGTATACTGCACTCCATTTACCTCGTTCTAGGTTATTATTTTTTCTGAGCTTGGTCCCCAGCTGAAAGATGTGAAGAAGACCAAGAAAACATTATTTTGGAAGGGATTATTATCTCTAAGTCATGTAGAGACAAAAGGAAAAAAATACTATATTTATTTTCTTTAATTTCTGTTTGAAACCTTGGATCTTTTGCTTATATGAGAAATTCCTAATTCTTTGTTATATGTGACAGAGTTTCAAATTTATGCAGGTTTTAAAAACAGCTGATAGCAGATAAGATTCTTGTAGGTCACGGGATTCCCACCATAAACTCTTTGCACTGTTCTTCAGCTGTTCAAATAAACATACTTTCAGTTCTTGTCTTCCTGCTGAGAAATCAATACATAAGCTCAAAGAAACAGGTGTCATGCTAGACTACCAAGAAGACTAGCATTTTGTTTGGAAGACCTTTCTACTGATGCTGTTAGTTTTGCTTATTGTCTTTAATAGTAAAGATGCCAAGTTTTATAGAATCTACAGGGATGAAAGCTAGCAGGGAAATTTACTGTATTTGTATATATTTACTATATTTGTATATATTTTAAGACAAATGTATATTTGACTGATACAATTATTTCTCCATTGATCCTGCATTGTGCAGGAGTTTGGCCTACACAACAACTGTGAATTCCTTCCAGCCTGAATGACTGTTACTCTGTGCTGGTGACAGTTACTCTATGATATGAGTGATCCATTTATCTTAGAAAGGTAAGCCTGACAAAAGACCAGATGGGCCCATCAGTTGTTGCTTGTGTTATGTAGTTGCATTCATGTTGCCTTTTGGTGGTTTGCCTATAGTGCAATACTGCTAATCTCAGGTGAAATTTGTGTACAATCTGAGTGATGAACAAAATAGAGTGGTAGTGGCACAACAAAAAGTTTTCAGCTCTGGAATACCACAATCCAATGAATTTGCATTGACACCAAAGCAAGGTTATCCCACAATCCTAAATATCCTGTGCTAAGGGCAATCTGGACTATTTTTGAATATAATATGAATAGCACATATGGTATGAATTGCACAGACTATACTATGTATTTGAGAAAGCTCAATTAAAGACTGCACAAAGAAAGGTTTCGTCTTCTAAGATGTGCTGAGCTGAAGCTAACTCGATTTATTGCTGAACTCACTGTTGACCCATTGTCATTGATGTGTATTTTCTCATACACAACACATCAGACAAAACAAAGCAAGTTTTGTTATATCCTGTTCTGTTAGGTTCTTTCCTCATTTTCAGCACAGCTGAGATACCATTATGATAGCTGTAATTCTTTTCCGAAGTAAGAATACATTCAGAAGGAAGGGTGCAAATAATCTCTGTAATATAATTGAGTTCTAAAGTTAGTAAAGAGAAATCAGCAATCAAAGATTGCTATTGTTAGCATAAAGGTTTTTAAAGTTCTAATCTTCTGAAATCAAAAAGTAATGAAAAAATGGGTTTTTCTGTGAAAAAGTTTTTTTTTCTGTGAAAAGTGTCAGATAAATTAGATAGTTTAGGAATTTATTTTTTTGGGGGGGGGAAATCAATGAAGGCTTCTCTGCCAAATACTCGGTATTAAAGGTAATAAAAATTAATAGTTTGAAGAAGGAGCACTTGATAAAAAAATTCCTGAAGAGCTTTAGTTCCAATTTTTTTTTTTTTTTGATAATACATTTATTACTGCAAAATGATTCTCTAGGTTAAGAACAGGACATTCAAGAGCAGTTTGCTGGCATTTTATTAGCTATGGGAAAGTCACATTTTTGCAATTCTGTTTTGCAAATGTAATTCCAATAGCATAAAGGTTGGAAGTACTGTGGTTTCTATAATGTGCCTTAACTTGCTCTTTTTTTGAATTAGTTTTATTTTCCTCGTATATGGGTGTTATTGCCAGTATACTGTTTCCATTGGAAGTTTTATCTATCAGTTTCAGATACTTTGTTATAAAAATGTATACCCTACTCTTCTCTAAGTTAGCTGATTATTGTGTATCAAATATCACCATCTGTTTTTATTATCTGACAAAAATACAGATGATCAGGCTAGAGGTGCCTTAACACTGATTTGAGTTTAAAGTTCAGATGTTAGATATGCTGGCATAAGCCATATTTTCCTTCCTACCATAGAATTTTGGGTGAGAAAAGTGTTAGAGGTGCTGCTTCTGTACTTTTGTTTCTTTTCATTGTGAAGGCACACCCTCAGAACGCGGAAGCAAATGTCTTTCTCTTGACTGCAGATTTGAGTGCTGTGATTTTTATTTGATCTGTAGAGCAGTTTGCTTTCTGAAAACATTTGTTATATCGACACTGAGGGGCATAGTGAGAATGGAGTTAAAATCTGGAAAAGGAGCCTCTGATGCTGCTGACATATACTTAAGTTAGCAGCTTAGCTTTCTATGGTGCCATAAATCAGGTAGGGATAAAAATAGAAGTTGTTAGACAATTCAGAAGGCTGCAGAGTATGATAAACTCCTGTTTACAGCCTTTCAAGCCCTCCTCTTTCTTTAGGAAACAGAAAAAATCACCCAAAGCTATTTGAGAAATTAATGTCTATTGAATATATTCAATACATCTTTATTCCTGTTGTGATGTAGCATAGATACTTTATAACTGGGGACTCCAAGGCTCATTGTGCTGTGCAGTGTTGAAATGCATATTGTAGAGGCTGAGCTAGCTCTAACTTTTTAATTACCAGAGAGAGAAAGAAAAGTGCTTTCTCATTCATGCCTGCTCCTCCAGCTGTAGGATATTTGGTACTCTTCTGTAATTCTGGCTAAGCAAGCTTCTCAAAGATGCTTTTCTTAATGGGGAATCATATGATTACATATGGCTACTCAGTCTGTAAATGGATTTTCAGCATGAGCAAAGCTATGAAAACCTGTATATAGTTGCACTGCTTCATTAAAATGCTAGAACCTGACAGATTTTAATCAAGGCCCAGAGCACTACACTGAAGGTGGAATGTAATCTTTGGTTTGACTGTGTTCTCTTATTCATTAGAAGATAAATTGTTATAGTATGTTCATCAATGAGAAGCAGCTTAACTGGTGACTGTCAATGGTTTTATTGCAGTGTTTGGAAACTCTTATTCCTGGGCCCTGCATTTGTTGTGCCATGGAGGGGAGCATACATTAGAAGTGATTGGCCCTGGGTTACAAAGCTTGTAATCTACATGTAAGAGAAGACATAACAGACAGAATCAGACAGGTGAGGAATTAATTAAATGGTCAAGATGACATGAAAAAAATCCTGTAAGAGGGACATGTAAAGAAACTTGCTCCTGAGCCTGAGAGTACCTTTTATCCCTGTTTCCCCCAGGAACAGAAAACAAAACTGTTAAGCTTCAGCATTTTGGTGAAAGAACTAATTTTAAAATCAAATCACTTACCTAGTTTCTCATGGCTAGTCAACAATAAGCTAGATAACTTCATGTGATTTCTTACCAGTTTAGTGCTCTCTGTTTAACTACAGCATGAGGCAATATGAAGGACTGAGCAGTTTGCCGCTTAGTCTTCTGAAGAGAGAACTTTGCCTAATACTATGAAAGGTTGTAAGAAGTGTTCAGTGTTTTAGTCTGTGTACTGTCTACAGAGAACAGTTTTTCAGTCAACCCAGACTGCCTCTTCGGATTATGTGATTCTGACTAATACAAGCGCATCAAGTTTTCCTTTATTAATAGTGCCCAGTGTTAGATGTGATCATAAAATACATGCCTTAATTTGTAGCTTGGATTTTAGAAATCTCCACAGACCAATTGAGGAAATGTAAAGAGACCAACCCGAAATGTTCTGGGAGAATTTCCAAAAAAAATCAAAGCAGCAAGAAGTAGAAATCAAAATAACATCTTTAATCTTTAAATTCTTAGAGCACAACTACTGTTTCAGCTTTCTCTCAAAATCACATTTTGATATTTTTCGTCTACTGTAGACTGAGAAATATTTAAGGGTGTAGTTAGTGGCTCTCTCAGTTCATGCCTCTGCTCTCTCCACAGCTATTTTTGACTGTGTGCGTTGAACTTGTGTGACAAGCCTGGCAACTGAGCAAAGAAATACATGCAGCCAGGAGTAAGTGGCCACTCTCCTTACTTTCCTTCCCAGTTCTAATGAGGACTGTGACCTGCAGGCTGGACTGGATAGGGATTGATGGTTTTCTGTCTGTTGCTCCTGTAACTTGTGCTCTTGCTTCTTCAGTGTCCACTCGGTCTTCAGATCAGTTCATGATGCTGGTCCTGCTTAGAAAAAGACACTGCTGAAAAAGTATTCTCAAGAGATTGGGCAGAAAGCTTGCTTATAAATTTTTGGAATGAGTTCCTTAATTCTTACCTTGATATTTTGAATAAATCATCTACAGTTATGAGACTTCTGAGACATCAAAGTATAGCATCACAGACCATAGTAGCATGAGATACTCAGGATAATAAAAGTAATAGGTTGTACTCTACTGGGTAGGGTTCATTTGTTTTTAGGCTCGTGGTGGAATTTTGTGATGTCAATGTTATTATTCCATGGTACTAGTGATTTATTTTTTTTCCTGATTATTCAAAACATTAAAAAGTTGTAATGTAAGATCTGACATCAAAACTTCACATGATAAGCAAAACTTCCTAATGCTGCACCTATTCAGATAAGTAATTCTATTGTATTTAGTGGGATTGGTCATGTTATTTACAACTTGATGTGCATTTGAATGATTTTCTGAAGACTAGCCAATGTATTCTGTAATCTCATCTAATGCACCTTTATTATAATGCTGTTGCAGGTGAGTATGTATAGATAGAGCATAGGGAGTTACAGACAGCTGTATTGCATATTTAGAAGATTAATCTTACTAAAATAATTAATCAACACCAGCCTTATTGATAGTGATTAATTCTTGCACTTTATTAATCATACAGAATTGTTGGTTTGTAGCACTTAATTAGCACTGAGCATATGATACTGCAGAGCTGATGCTGTATAGTTTGATGATAAAATCCTCGGTGGTTCTTAGTCCTTGAGGTCAAGGTTATCACTTCTTTCTTCTCTGATTTTCCTTGAGTGTGTGTGATGTTCTCATGCTATTGCCCACTCCCTCCCAAAGCAGTGTCACAGTGCTCTTTGTCTTGTTTTTGGCTCTGCTGATCATCTTTGCATATTAAAGAGGTTCTGCTTATTTTGTCTGACAACAATTACTTAAATGCCTACAGTCATGAGAGATGCTTCAGAAGTTCTTTTCAGACAAAACATAGGACTAAGCCCTGCAGACATTTAGATGAAGGTTCTCACACAGTGAAAGGCAAATCTAGATGTTGCTTCCATCTCTCTGGGCACAATTTCTTCAACATATTTTCTAGGAGGATTCAACATCTCATTCTCTCACCAGCACCTGCTTCTTTCAGTGATTGTCTTCTCCCCCCAGGAACTACAGCTGGCAGCAACAGTTCAAGTTAGGCTACAGCAGACACAAGAGGAGGCTTCTGACTTTTGGAAGAGCTTTCATTGCTGAAGCAGCTGTTCCTGGTGTTCCCTGGGGGAAAGTCAGAAATCTGTATGAAAGCCAGTTGGACCAAATGAATTTAGGTGTCTCTCATTACAGTTATTGTATTATACATTCTAAGGGGTTGAAAGAACTTTTAAAGCTGATTTAAGAACAGGCTATTGATTGTCAACGTATGAATGTAATGTAATTTCTAAACTGACATATTTCATCAATTCTACATGTGCATCTTTTTTTAAATTGTTTTATAGACACAACTGCATAACATTAAGTTCTAAACAGATTTTTTTCATTAAGCCTTTTCTAAATACCACATTTATATGGTATATATTTTCTTAATACCACATGATTCTATGGTATAACTGTAGGCATAGAATTCTATAATATGCTGGCAGCTCTTCATTCTAATGTTTTTACGTTAGAGCACTAACAGAAAGAGCAGTCCACAAAAGGGAATGCAAGTGTCGTAAGAATAGAGCAGTATGTTGTAATGAGAAAGAAAAAAAGAAAATGCAAACATCCACTCATTATTCTTGTTCAAGAGCTTCTACAGTAGCTTAAAAGTTGCTTCACAGTCTGCCAAACAATGGTTCAGCTAGTTGGTTTGTGATATGTATGATGGAATTCTTTTCCACTGACATGTATGGTTTTTCCTTAAAGCTAGCTACTTCTACAAGGCAGGCAAATTATTTCATTTTTTTTAAAAGGGTAAATAATATAGATCCATTAGTTAGGAAATTAGGACTGTTGTATATAATGGCCATTAGAACTCACACACACTCAGGTTTTCTGGCTAGCATGTTATCTCCAGTGGATACAAGCAAACATGGTATCCCTGCTGCTGGAAAGCCACTTGTGCCTGTCAGTACATCTATCCAGGCAGATTAGAGATGTTGATACCACACTTGCCTGCTCTTGTGTCCTCCCTAGACTAGTACCTTGTTCTCTGCTAGTCCTCAGCATATTGAAGTAGAAAAGTTGAAGATAGCTGAAGAGGTAATAGAGGGTTTTTCAGGGCACATGCTGCATAGTCTCAAACATCTCTTTAAAAGTAATAATGAGTGATTTATCTTGGTTGGTGATTCAGGATGATTGAAAACCCCCACCTAACTTACTGCTTTTGCATGAAAAGAGTGTGCAAGGCAGGGGGGAACAACAGTGTCAACAAAAGACTGACTTGTGTTGAGTTGCATTATGAATTTTGGGTAAAAGGTGCTTACTATACATGGTGGTATGCAGTGTACATGTGCTAAGTTGACTTTCTATCTCCTTCCCCTCAAACTTGTTTGCTGTTGCTGGCTTAGGACTCAGGGTTTACCTTGTAGGTTGTCTAGAGTCTTGAGCAGGTTGTTCATGCCTTATGTGGGCCTCTGGAACCCCCTTGGACTAGAAATGATCCTGAGTACTCACCTTTTGCTTTTAACTGCAGTGAGATGTGCAAGGAACCAGTAATGGTCTGAGAAAGTGCTGGCCTCTGAAAAGAATTATTTTGCTTTAGAAAAGTGCAGAAAGTGTTTTGAATGTTGCCTTTATCATCACCAAAGGAAATCTCTGTTCCTGAATCAAATACAGTGCAATGTAAATTTGATGGATTTAGCTCAAAAGCATTGTTTCTGGTGGATTCTTTTCCTTGACAATATAGCTGCTAATATTTCATGCACATAAATAATTATATCAGCTATGTTTAATAATTATATAATTGTATTGGCTAATTTATTTCAATTTTTCTTTGCCAAGGTAAACTTCACACATTAGTATCACTAAGTACCGCAAAGTGTCCCTTTAATTTCCTAATGTGCCTTATAAAAATGCGTCTCTCCAATACCTTAAAGGAGAGTATATATGTAACAGTTAATTAACTTCTTATTGTATCTGTTTTCTCTTTGGCCTCCATAGTACTTTCCCTTAAACTAGAGAGTATATATTACAAACTCTCTAGTTTATATATACTCTCTAGTATGTGTGACATTTCCAGGAAGCTAATAACACTTTATGATAAAATAATGTTTATCATGTTAAGTTTACAGGAAGTAATAATTATAGTTCCTCTAAACCAATACATAAGGGATACTTCATTCTTCTATTAAAATTTATGAGTTTGATGATCTTTATGAATGGAACAAAAATGTTCTTCTTATTAGCTGTTGATTGCTTTTAACAGTATCCACTAAAGCCTTTTCAAAGAGATTTGAAAATATACCCCCATGAGAGTCAAGGCTAGTTAATTACATTTTGAAATAATCCAAACCCATGCACTTTTTTTTTAATGTTCTTTCTTACTGTGATATTCCAGGATCACAAACAGTGCATAGATTATGTTTGCTCCTCTTTTCTTCCCTGCAGACATATGCACATCTGGAGTGTTTTAAAAACTCTCTTACAATTTGAAGTTAAGAGATGGTGTCTCATGTTAATACTGGAAATCTTTGGAGTGTTTTTTGGTCTGCAGTTTATTAAGCAACTGTATGATATTTGTACCAAATGCACAATAATCTGTGGCAAAATCATGGTTATGGATCATCAGTTTACATTTTGATTCTGTTTTCTGGAGGTTTTGGTTTTTTTTTTCTAAGAGGTTGAAAATGGCACCATTGATCCTCCATGGTCTGGAGCTGTTGTTCAGTAAAACGCAATTTGCAAAGTAAGTTAGAATCATGATAAAGGTATTTTCTGGGTCTGTGCCTTTGGGGAATTCTGGAAGGAGCTGTGTATTTGGAGTGCAGTTCTGCAAGCTGTGAATGCCACTCTTTGAAGTGTTCAAGTCTTCAAAATCCCTTAGAAGTCTCTGGGTACATACCATGTTTTATAATTCCAAGAATTTGGTCCTGCATGGCTGACTGGTTCAGAGTAGGGCTCATTATCAGTCTTTTCTCTTTACCTCCTCTTTGGCCACGTATCCAGAATGCTAGTTTCTATGCAGATGTTGTGTTCATGTTGTCATTACTCTGCAAAGCAGCTATTTTGCTTTCATTTTCACCAGGGCATTAATAAAGATCAACAGCAAGTATATGATTTACTGTTGTGACTGAGACAAGAATATGTTTTTTGGAGTGTTTTTTTTTTTTCCCTTTGTGCTCCCTGGAAGAAAGAAATAGTTTGAGCACTTTTGAAATGACTTGAGGGCAGAGACAGGAGTACACTGAGAACTGACTCTCAGCTGGTCCAAAGAAAATACCTGCAGCTGTATGTGAAATAATTGCAAGTAGAAAAGGTTACAGTCTTGCTCACGTACTGCTCTGCTTGCTCTATGGCCATTATTATTTCAGTGTATTTGTGTTGGTCATTGAAATAATTTGTCCTGGTAGCACTAATGCCAGGTAGTTTCCCCACATCCCCCCTAGCTTTTTTTGAGGCACAGTATTAGGATTATCTATTTAACTAACAACAGCCACTTTTAAATGCCACTCATACTGAGCTGTGTAGTATTATTTAGCTGCACAGATTTATACTGCTTATGAAAGCAAATCAGTGCAGGATTGTCTTTGACCAGAATGATAAGACATCTGTGTTTTGCTTTATCACCGGTAAGTTTCCACTGGCTTCTCTCTTATTGCATTAAAGATTATGCCTAGCAGTTAATGTAATCAGA